AATACTGATGAGGATTTAATTAAACATTTAATTAAAATCCTCATTAGACATCTTTGAGTTCCACAGTCCCTTTCTAGATATTTTAGCAATGTTACCTCTCTTTTTTAGCCTCTCTTTTTGCCCCAAATTTAGTCTCTGAAATTCCTATATTTTTATAGCAATTCAGCTCAGGTTTTCAGCTCAAATAGCTCTCTCTAAACCAAAGCCCTTTGTGGGAAGAACTCATCCTCTTAGAAAGATGGCAGTGACCTTCTATTCTTCCACAGACACTGGCTGAAAACAACCTGTATGGAGTAATTTCCCTCATCATCTCAGGTGATCTATCAAAATATTTGTCCAACTAAACAGATCTCCCCTTTTTTTTTGGAAGAGTAAGTGGGTTTGGGCAGGAGAAGGGCATGTGTGGAGAGGGACATAGTAACTGGGCTGTAAAAAAATATGGTTTTCCCTATATTATGCCTAATTTACAATATTAGGTGATTGAGTGTTCTAAAAAAAGTAGTTATATTTCATTAAGTGCCTAACTTGCTCTAAATGGCAATTAAAATTTTTTAGAACAGCTTTATGGAGTCATAATTCACATACCATAAAATTCACTATTTTGAAGCATACAGTTTAATGCATTTTAGTATATTCTCAATCATCGCCACTATATAATTCCAAAACATAGGGGCTGGCAAATATAGGTTTACAGTTGAGAGTACATGAAGTGCAAGTTATTCTTGTGCTATTATTTAGTAATTAGTATAGTATGCATTATTATTAACCTACTTTTTCCCATCCCTGTGTTTCTATTTTCTCCAAAAGAAACCCCTTACCCATTGGCAGTCACTCCCCATTGCCCCCTCTCCCTAGCCCTTTGGTAACCACTAATCTACTCTCTCTCTCTATGGACTTGCCTATTTCAGACATTTCATACAAATGGAATCATATAATATTTGTTATTTTGTGACTAGCTCATTTAACTTGGCATAATGTTTTCAGGTTCTTTCATGTACCAGTACTTATTTTTTATGGCCAAATCATATTCCATTGTATGGATACACCATATTTGGTTTATGTACTCATTAGCTGATAGACATTTGCATTATTTCCACTGTTTGGCTGGTATGAATAATGTTGCTATAAACATTCATGTGCAAGTCAATGTATGACAAATGTTTTTATTTCTCTTGAGTATATTCCTAGGAGTGGAATTGCTAGGCCTTATGGTAACTTGGTGTTTACTTTTCTGAGGAACTATTAAACAGTTTTTAAAAAATTTATTTTTCTTTTATTGATATTTTAGAAATAGGGGAAGGGAGAGAGGAAGAGAGGGAGAGAAACATCGATGTGAGACAGAAACATTGGTTGCCTCTTGCACACACCCCTACTGGGGACCGAACCCACAACCCAGGCATGTACCCTGACTAGGAATTGAACCCATGATCTTTCGGTTTGCAGGAGAATGCCTAACCAAGTGAGCTTCACTGGTCAGGGCTATTAAAAAGATTTCCCAAGTAAGTGGCTGCATCATTTTACATTCCCACCAGCAATTGGTAGTGTTCCAATTTTTCCATACCCTCACCAACACTTGTAATTGTCTTTCTTTTTTATTACAGCCATCTTAGTAAGTGTGAAGTGGTACCTTGATGTATATTGCCCTGATGGCTAATGATATTAAGCATCTTTTTATGCTTATTACTATTTGTGTATCTTCTTTGGAGAAATGTTTATTGAAATTATTTGTGCATTTAAAATTGGGTCATATGTCTTTTTATTGTTGAGTTGTAAGATTCTTTTAATATTTTGAATACAACTCCCTTATAAGATATACAATTTTCAAACATATTCTTTCATTCTGTAGGTTGTTGCAATAGTAATTTATGTTTAGGCAACACTTGATTTACAAAGGGACTAAAGCTTAAGTATGGATATCATCCAAACCTTGCTTCTCTTCTGGATTTATTCCAATTTGGAAAAAAGCATGCCCTGGCTGGTGTAGCTCAGTGGATTGAGTGTGGGCCTGTGAACCAAAGGGTCACCAGTTCATTTCCCAGTCAGGGCACATGTCTGGGTTGCAGGCCAGGTCCCCAGTATGGGGCGTGTGAGAGGCAACCACACATTGATGTTTCTCTCCCTCTCTTTCTTCTTCCTTTCCTCCCTCTGTAAAAATAAATACATAAAATCTTTCAAAAAAAAAAAGAGAAAAGCAGTGTTCACAGCATTGTCTAAAAAGAGTGCAGGAAAAGATGGGAAGAAAACCTACTGTGCCTAGTAGAGAGTATGTGCTCAGTTAACTTTTCAAAATGAATGCATACAATTGATATATTTATTCCTGGTTCCCACCACTACTCTGACTTCAGTCCCTCTGCTGGACTTTCAGAGCCATGATATTCATTTCATGGTCTGAAGGCAGAGCTATGAAGTATTGGGAAGATGTACTTGTTTCCATATGTATGCTCTAAGCTCTCTACTCTATATTAAGTGCACTAAAACATAACACTTATGGGTCAGAGGTTTTGTGGTAAAAAGCAGTTTTGTGTTATACACTTTAAGTTTGAGACTCACTGACTTAAGAGAAAGAAGCAGTTGTTTTCCACAGGCTTGGGCATTTCCATATCATTTATACTACAGATGCTTATTTGGAGGTTCACTTTGGGATTTCACTTATTTCAATGCCCTTAACCTAAGAGTGGTTTCCTCAGTGAAGTTCACTGTCCCCTTGACCAAACCTGTAGCTGTCGGGAGATGGGTCTGATGCTGTGAGGGAGGAAGGCCACATCTGCCTGCCAGCCAAGTCAGCTGAATCTACTTGGGAAATGTTTAGGAGAGATGATCCCAGACAGGCTGTCTGCATTTCCACATCACTTACAATAGTCTATCAAGGTCATTTTGCAACTGACATATGTCATAGTCCCTTGTCAACATCTTGAGTGTTGACTTACAGAAAGAATCAGAATGATTCAAAAATGGGAAGAATCAAAGGAATTCTAGTTGGGACAGCAGTTGAAAGAAATCAGAGAAGGCATATATATGAAGGAAACAAGCTAGGCAAGGGAAGAAGAACCCAGGGAAGCAGGACAGTTATTTGTAACTGGATATAAACAAGAGTCTAACCTTACACAGGCAGAGCTGGCTGGACTGCTAATGTTACTGAGCTCAGTTACCCACTCATGGCACTCAGTCAGATGGTTGTGGGCTTCCTGTGTATGACACATGTATGGGTGTGGGTAGTGGTCAACTAGTGAAACGGGACGCATACCTGTGAGCATGTACAATGGTCCCATAAGAGAGGGGGAAAAGAGAATTTTAAAAAATCAGCAGCCTTAGGGAGTTAATGTGAATAAGCTTATTGTCTCAGTCCAGATTGACGAAAAATATCTTAACACTAAACAGTCATCAATAATGCCACTTTATAGTATCTATGCAATGCTTTTTCTTTCCCAGTGGTTCATCAGTACAATACTCTCCTGAAGGAAAAGGTGATTTTACAGTTGACCTGAGGCTCAGAGGTGAATTGACTATTCTGGAGGGGGAGAAAGGGAAGGCCACTGTTTGGAGCTAGGGCTAAATTAGGCATTAAACATGTGTCCATTCCTTTAATTCCTATAAGAGCTGTTTGAGGTGGGTATTATTATTATTATTATTATTATATAGATTATGGAAAATTATCCAACTCTTTTGAGCAATAATGGTAGAATAAAACCATATCTCATACTCTAGAGCCATATTCTTTTTCTACTCTACCCAATTCTTATTTGCCAATTCTAACTGATGGAGGGAGGTTCCCCAGAGGAAGATGTGGGAGGAGTCTAAGCCCATGTCCATTCTGTCTGAGGCTGGTGGGGACCGGAGGAGTAGCATGTAATACAGAGCCAAAGTGTCACAGAGTGAGTGATTTGTAATAGGCCTCATTTCTAAGAGACAAAGACTTTCTATTATGCAATGGTTGATATTTTGAAGGAGTTAAGGTAGGACTCTGCCTTTTGATACCACTTCTCTTTTCCTTCCCTTCTGTTGACAAGTATAATACCAGTGAAGGACACCAAAATATGTCACCAACAAATATGCCCCCTTGGCCTAAAAATTATTTTGAGCTGAAGACAATGAAGCAGCAGAAACTGCAAGGAAAGATCTCTGTACCTTCCCCTTTTCTGCCTAAAGACACGCTATAAATTCTCCTTATCTTGGTGATAGACTCTATCAGCACCTGTGCACCTGTGAGGAATCTAAAGCAACTTTACTCCCTGAGTTTCCTCCCACATATTTATTTTCCCACAGTTTGCTGCCCTTGGAAGCCTAAAACTGCTTACCTCTGTCCTGCCATTTCTCCTTAAACATTTTGCTCTTTGTTGGAGATGCTGTGTAAGCCAGAGTTCTAAGTTGTGATTTTGAGTTACTTTTCATGAGATTTCTCCCATGTGACATGCATGTACATGTTGATAAACTGTTTTTCTCTTGTTCAGCTGTGTTTCTGTTTAAGAGTCCCAGATAAAAACTCAAGATGGGTAGAGGTAAAGTTTTGCCCCCTCTACACGAGCTATGGCTAATTCTCTCTCTCTCTAGTACTCTACTTGCTTTTTTATTTTGCAAGTTCCCTTTCTCAAAATGACATCATTTCCTTGCTTGAAAGGTATGTACCAATGAAACAGGTAATGTAGCAGAAATATATTTTCTGTGTGTGTGGCGAATTAGTGCAGAGCTGGCAGATTGGTGGGTTCTCAACAGGGATCTGGCAGCTTTGGTCATCATAGACAGATGACAGCAGGATCATTGCCACTCTCAGTGAAAGGATGAAAACAACCAGATTTGTACCGCAAACCAAACTTCTTGTTTCAGCTTCTGAATGACAGAAACTGTATTCCTTAGTTTCCTGCTTTTACATCTGTGTTTAAATTTTCAGTTTTCATGATTGGGTTGATAGATTCTAATCTTTGTTGTTTACATATTTAAAAGCCCTTTCATTTTGTTTTTCAAATTATAGCTACAATGTACATATTCATGTTTTTCTCTGTTAGGTTTCCACATATAGAAAAACATCAGCCGTACATTAGAGCCCTAACGAGCTCATCAGTTCTGAGTGTAAAAGCTGTGGAACCTTCGGATCTGAATCTCAATGAGTCCCGGACTTACCGCACCACTTCACTCTCCAGTTCCGGTTGGCATCCACTCCGCGGCACCGAAACCTTGAGTTCCTTGACCTTGTTTTTCTCCAAAATCGATCCTAGAATGTAATTAAAAACATAGTTGAAGAAAGAATAGTTATAAGATTATTCACAAGCATTTTAGTAGCACAATCAATTAGTGAATGAATCCCAGCACTGAAGGGGAGAGTTCCTTCTGGAACAGACCAATTCAGGGCGTGGGAAGAAGACTGGATGGACACCCGGGTTCAGGCTCCACTCTCTGCCGCAAACTTGCTGTCTCTTACCTTAGCTCAGCCTCATTTCTTTACAGGCAAGTCGAATAAGCTGGACTGAACTAGTGATTTTTCACAGTTTATTTTAAAAGAAATATTTATTTATATGAAATTTATGCAAAGCTACGCATACAAACAAAATCAAAAGGTTGCTATGATGGGGAGGAGTGGAGGTTTCTTTTGTAGCTCTGGATCACTGGGCTGGTGTCCAAAGCTTCCTTCCTGTTCTGTGACAGTTTCCTATGATTTATTCAGTCTCTCTCTTTGATTGAATAGGCAAAGTGACTTACACTGGTCCAGCTGAAATGGTATCCATCAACATTAAACACAGGCATGATATAGAAATACAGATGATTCATCATTTTTCTCATGATTGGATCACTCCTGTAGGTTAGAAGAGCCTAAAAGACAAAGGTGACAGTTTTCTTATAAATTGATTCCAAATACAGATTTAGAAAAAAAGAAAAAGAAAATCCTTTCCATGGAAATACTAAACATACTGGGTTAAAAAGCAACAACATAATATGAACTATACTCTTTGACATCATATACTTGTATTCTTTAATGAGACTTTTATAAATTCTATATTATGAATAATATTTTAGCAAAGGTGGCAAAACATTAATTGGGCAGCCTCTTGCCCAATTAATGTTTTTCAGATATGGCTGTATTTTAGGTTAAGAAAGCAACAATTTTGTATAATCAGTTCTTTATAAGATTCCATTCCATTGTGGACAAAACACTTAAATATAGTTTGATATCTTTACATGATATACAAGCTGGTTATGTATGTCACTTAATTGTCTGTCTAACTGGTGCCAGATTTAAGCCTTAGAACTTACTGCCCGGATGCTTGGTTCTTTCCTGGCTTTTCTATAAAAACCTTGGTGAACAATATAACATCTCTGTCATCCTGTTCTTGTGACTGGGTGTTACTTCTGCTGTATCTGACCTCAGGTCTAAAGATTCTGCTTTACAGATTTTGCCTCAGTTGAAAAATGTTGAATATACTAAGTCAAGTTAAGACATTTTGAAATACCATCCCTTTTTTAAAAGTTCTTTTTGATACATGTTTTTCTATGTATAAAGTATCTCAGAAAAACATGTAGGAATTTTATAGCAATGGCTGCCTCTGGGGAGCAGGACTGGGGGACAACATACAGGAAGGAGAATTACTTTTAATTTTACACCCATTTGGATTGCAATGGAAAATAAAATAATTCTTAAATATTATGTACCTACTTCCTTGGAAAATTTAATACTTAAAATTTCAATCTTCCTTTACACTTAATTAAGTAGAATTTCTGAATCCATAGTAAGCACACTCTGTATTTACATGGTGAGAATTCTGTTCATAGAGAGCAATCCAATAATACAAGTTATTATTAGAAACTATTACTATATTAGATAGGATACTGAAAACATAGGGATATATTTAAGAACATAAGATTTATTAAATACAATTCTATTAAATATAAATATCTATGGGATCATCACAAGTTGATAAACATTAATGTGAATCTCTCCTGTTCTCTGTTATTTAAGGCTCAGTAATAATTTGTTGGCCCAATAGCTTTAGTAGAATTTTCATATATGTTTGAATTTCCATTAATTGTCTAATGTTTCAAACTAGAAGAATATCTCTGAGACATAATCAATTGTCCATACCTAGAAATTCTGTTTTCATTTAACGAATGGAGGCTCCCAAGTGCTTGGAGGAAGCCTGTAGAGGATGGCAGTGACAGAGCTGTATGGTTAGTGACATTCCCCCCCTAAAATGGCTTTCCATGCCTCTTTAGAAAGGAAGACAGAACAGATGGGAGAAAAACGAGCTGGTGAAGCAAGGCAGAAAAGGATAGGAAAAAGTCGTAATTTATCCTACCGGCACTGGAACCTTGGCTCATTTGTCCCATTCCAAACTGGGGAAGTCTCACCTTTCCCAAGCGTGGATTATGGGTCATGTCAGCACCTAACCACCAGGCCAAGCTAGAGATTTTCCTGAGAATGGTCTCTTATCCTGCCTTCTCCTCCTTCAATGCAAGTGACCATTATACTTTCCTATTTAAAAGAATATTTCTAACTTTCTTTTTAAAATTACAATATATTTTAAGTAAATAAAGTACAGAGAAGAATATCATATCTATGTGCCCACCAAACACATCTTTCCATATTTATCAAATCTTTTGAGACATTGTAGATAAAACTAAAGCTTCCTTTTAACCACTCCCTGATTCCATTTCCCTCCCCTCCACCAAGGTAATCACTGTCCTAAATTTGATATCACCTTTCCCATGCATGTTTTGTTTTGCTATGTATATGCGTATGTAGATTCACGAACAATATATATATGTATGTTTTGAGATTTCACACATCAAGATGTGTCTGCGTTCAGTCCGCTGCTCTCCCCAGTATTATATTTTTGACACTAAGTTGATCATTTATTTATTGTAACTAGTATTCCATTATAGGTAAACAAACAACATATTGATCTCTTAATTTTTTTTAAAGATTTTATTTATTTATTTATTTATTTTTTAGAGAGGGAAGGGAGGGAGAAAGAGAGAGAGAGAGAGAGAGAGAAACATCAATGTGTGGTTGCTTGGGGACATGGCCTGCAACCCAGGCATGTGCCCTTACTGGGAATCGAACCTGTTACACTTGATCTCTTAATTTGTTAATGAACACTTAGGTCACTTCTGATATTTCATTATTACAGTATCGCAATGAACATTTTTGCACATTTTTTCTAGATGTGTGAGAGTTTTTGATGTTATATATGTAGGAATGGATTTGCTGAATCATGGGTTTACATACCTTCCACTTTACTAACTTGCTGTTTTCTTTCTCAATCAGAAATACTTTCATTTGCAGTGAATGAGGGTCCCCATTGCTCTACAAACTTACCAACCCTTGGTATTGTTAAACTCTTAATTTAAAAAATTTAAGAGTATGAAGTTGTTTTGTTTCTTTCTTCATATTTTCCTGATTATAAATTATATTAAATAGCTTTTTATATAACAGGCCATTCTAAATATAAATTGCTCACTTATATTTTTACCTATTTTTCTATTAACCTCTTCTTATTTTTCTTATATTCTGCTATTAGTCATTTGGTTATATGCATCATGAATATCTTCCTTTCTTGAAACTTATTGTTTCCTGTTTTCATCATGTCTTTGTTGTACATATTTTTTTAAGTTATCATCACTAAATGTATATGTTTTCTTTAAGAACTTATCTTTGCCTGGAGATCATAAAGCTATCCTATATTTTCTTTCTTTCTTTTTTAAGTATATTTTATTGATTATGCTATTACAGTTATCTCATTTCTCCCCTTTATTCCCCCCTGCTCTGTACACTCTCTCCCACACACATTCAAAAAGTTGTTTTCAAGCTTGTTTTTCAAATGTAGGCCTTAAACCTCCTAGAAATGATTTTTTTTACTTGATGTGAGGTTGGGATTTATTAAATTATTTTTCCTTTAGGGAAGACCAGGTGTGCCACTGTATTAATTTGGATGGTTTGTCTTTTCCTTAATGAGTTCACACATTCTCTGTCAAGTGTCAAGTTTTCCTTCGTGGGAGGAATTGCCCTAATGCACTTCAGTTTACATCCAGTCACCAAGCCACACCAATGGATACACGGAGTCTGTTGAGTCTGGTAGCATGTGTCTTCCCATGTTATTGCATTTCAGAGCTGTCTCGGCTATCTTTTACCCTTCTCTCTTCACATTAATTTTAAAGTCAAGGTTGAGCATATTAAAAATGTTCTGCCCTATCCTAAGTTGTTTTCTAATTTTTTGTCATTAACAAATGTTGAATTTTAGCAAATAATCTTTCTTCATGTATTAAGATCATATATTTGTTGTTATGGTCAATTTTATTAAGTAATTTTTCTACTGTTTAATCGTTCCTGCATGACTGGTGTAAGCCCATTTGGTTATAATATATATTCTGACTACATTGGCTGGGTTCATGTTGCTAGTATTTACATTTATGTTCCTGAGTGAGATAGGCCTATGGTTTCGTATTTTGTCCTTGTCTGGTGTTGGTTTCAGTGTTACATCTCTCTATTGTTACTTGGGGAGTAAACCATGCAGGCCTAGAGCAGAAATTAATTACATATAAAATAAAAATACAATAGGGAAGATATATATCTTTGCCTTCTTTTTCATTGATTTTTCTTTGTTTCTTTCTTTTGTTGACACTTTTTTCTTCTCTAATTTCTTGAATTGAAAGGTTAGCTCATTAATTTGGAGACCTAATTCTTTTCTAGTATATTTATTTAAAACTATACATTCTCCTTCAGTACTATATTAGCTATATACTAGGTGTTTTGATATATAACAGTTTTGTTTCCATTAAGTTGTAAATATTAATTTTTTCTTGATTTCTTTAAACCATGAGTTATTCATAATTTTTTTATGTTCAACTATGTGAGTTTTCTTCTTAAAGTCATATTTTATAAATAATTTCTAACAACCGCATTATAGTCATTATAGTCAAAGAGTATGGTCTACGTGGTACAGATTCTTTGCTATTTCTTAAACCTTGCTTTGTGGATGAGCATGTAGTTAAGTTTTACAAATGTTTCAGTTATGCTTGAAAGGAATATGTATTCTCCAATTATTGGGTATAGATTCTATATGTGTTTATTAGGTTAAGTTTATAATCACACTGTTTATATCATCTATCTTCTAATTAAGAATGTTGCCTGTATGTTGTCTTAGTAGTTGAGTTGTGAAAAAATTGACATTATTAGGTTTGTCAATTCTGTCAAATTTTGTTCTATATGTAATATATTGAGGCCATTTATATGGCTCTTCACTTCCAAATAATATATTAAATAAGGAAGTTGTTCTCTAGGATTCCATTTTAACATGGACTTAATTTCCAAGACTTGCCAGAATGTGTCCTTCCTCTGACAAATGACAGGGTGTCATTGTATTACATATGGCATACTTGTGATTTTTGTAGTTCCAGAAATTGTAGCCGTTCTCCTTCCAGTCAGACAAAGCGAGAGTGGCCATACTATGAAGACTACTCAGTATTGCACAGGATGACTGAGAGACCTCCCTGATCAAATGCTTTAAGTAATAGGACATAGATGATTTCTTTTTTATGGTTTAGGTGGAGTTTCTAGAAAAGAGATGACTATGTGACTTTCTATTTCCTATCCTTCTGACAAATGTTAACCATAAAGGGGTGCACTTTCCTTCTAATGGGTAGGACTCTTTTTACCAATCCATTCACACCACCCATATGCACAGAAAAGGAGACGCTTACTAATTAAGTTCCATCTGGGCTTCACAAGTGTAATGTCTCAACTACTATTATTACCTATCAGGAAGACTTAGGTAGGTCATGATCTGAAAGCCAGTCACAAAACAATGCACCACACG